GTACCTGTTATCTTAATATTTAATTATCCTCACGTGCTAATTCTTTGTGGCTGTCATTGTTTCTTCTTTCACCGCATTCAACTTGTTGGCCACACGTACCGGGGAGGTTATCTTGAGATGATTTCGGGACTTAGCGTCCCCGCGGCCCGGTCCTCGACCAGGCCTCTTTTTTCTTGTTACACACCCCCAGGAAGCAGCCCGTAGCAGCTGTCTAACTCCCAGGTGCCTATTTACTGCTAGATGAACAGGGTCATCAGGGTGAAAGAAACCCGGAACCTCAGGACTACGAATCCCAAGCGCTGTCCACTCAGCCGTCAGACCCTGCAAAACAATCACAGAAAAGCCAGTACTTCACTATCTCCTGGAATGTGAAGCAACTAACGACCTTAGAAGAGCTTTAAGAGGCCCTTGACTCTTGCAGTAACCACCCTCAAGCCTTCAACACCGCCACTCTTCTGGTCAAAAAAGGTGTCCAGCAGCTGGAGACCCTCATAAATACTGTCAAGCGGCATCCTCCACCGCGATAGCAGCCACATAGTAAGGACTGACGATTTAAATCCGAACACAGCAAAGTATATCGTTTCACGACCCTAGATCACATTCACTCCCAAAAAATCTACCACTTACGGGCTATTCATGCCCGTGCCACCTCTTTGGTGGCTTAATCTTCATCAATCAGTCAATCAACCCACACCCCCTCCCCACCCACGTTCACCCATTGGCCAACATTATCTCAATAAAAACACCAACTGGATTTTCCCATATTAAAATATTGTGTCAGTAGCTTCATTGTTAGATTGTTACTTGCTTAGCTAAATGAATTGTGCGATTCAGTTCCCGGAACCATTATGTGCCCTATGATGGAAGGGTCCACCACCGCCCCCGTGATGGGTATGGGGTCCACCACCGACCCCAGGATGGGTATGGGGTCCACCACCGACCCCAGGATGGGTATGGGGTCTACCACCACCCCTGGGATGGGGTCTACCACCACCCCTGGGATGGGGTCCACCACCGCCCCCGGCATGGGTATGGGGACCATGACTTACACAATTTTAATATTGAATATATAAGTTGAGACCCCCAGACTGTTGGAGACCACGGTCTCCAAGAGTCTCCAAGAGCAGGCCAACACCGGCCTCCAGAAGGGCTTAGCGCCATGTTAGTCAGTAACCTAGAACACGCGCGCGCCAAGGTCAACTTCTCACCTGTGGGCCGCCGCGGGCTGGAGTTGGTTTCCAGCCTGTGTAACATCACTAACAACACTGCCAGATATATTTAGACACAGCAGCGGCCAACATGAGGTGTTTTACAGTCACGAGGTCCCAGCACCAGTCTCTGGCAGACTGTGATTAATGTGATATTCAGCGATTTATTAAGACTTCTCGCCGCGACACAGGCACCGCAGAGTAAGTAAAAAAGAGGAGCCAGACAACACTGTTACCATGGAAACGTTGCGCTCGGCAGGCAGTGGTGATAAAATATATATATATATATATATATATATATATATATATATATATATATATATATAATATATATATATATATATATATAAAAATATATATATATATATATATAAAAATATATATATATATATATATATATATATATATATATATATATATATATATATATATATATATATATATTTTTTTTTTTTTTTTCGACCGGGCCGCGGGGTCACTAAGCCCAGAAATCACCTCAAGTAAACAAGGTACATGTTACAGGGGGCCCCCGTAGCTCAGTAGTCAACGTTCTCGGCTCACACCCGAGTTAAAATAGGCAGTAAAGAGTCAGGCAATTGCATACAGAGTATGCAATTAGGGGTGTAGCTTAGGTCAGCGTCTCCCACCCGGGGAGCCATGGGAATTACATTTATTTTTATTTTACTAAGGAACGTGATTTTATTTTTAGTTTTTCTATATCTCTTCATCTGTTTTCACACCTCTGGTATTATTAAGTCCGTGAACCATGTGAACACCTGTGTCCTGAACACCAGACTGTCCCAACAACTGTGTCCTGAACACCAGACTGTCCCAACAACTGTGTCCTGAACACCAGACTGTCCCAACAACTGTGTCCTGAACACCAGACTGTCCCAACAACTGTGTCCTGAACACCAGACTGTCCCAACAACTGTGTCCTGAACACCAGACTGTCCCAACAACTGTGTCCTGAACACCAGACTGTCCCAACAACTGTGTCCTGAACACCAGACTGTCCCAACAACTGTGTCCTGAACACCAGACTGTCCCAACAACTGTGTCCTGAACACCAGACTGTCCCAACAACTGTGTCCTGAACACCAGACTGTCCCAACAACTGTGTCCTGAACACCAGACTGTCCCAACAACTGTGTCCTGAACACCAGACTGTCCCAACAACTGTGTCCTGAACACCAGACTGTCCCAACAACTGTGTCCTGAACACCAGACTGTCCCAACAACTGTGTCCTGAACACCAGACTGTCCCAACAACTGTGTCCTGAACACCAGACTGTCCCAACAACTGTGTCCTGAACACCAGACTGTCCCAACAACTGTGTCCTGAACACCAGACTGTCCCAACAACTGTGTCCTGAACACCAGACTGTCCCAACAACTGTGTCCTGAACACCAGACTGTCCCAACAACTGTGTCCTGAACACCAGACTGTCCCAACAACTGTGTCCTGAACACCAGACTGTCCCAACAACTGTGTCCTGAACACCAGACTGTCCCAACAACTGTGTCCTGAACACCAGACTGTCCCAACAACTGTGTCCTGAACACCAGACTGTCCCAACAACTGTGTCCTGAACACCAGACTGTCCCAACAACTGTGTCCTGAACACCAGACTGTCCCAACAACTGTGTCCTGAACACCAGACTGTCCCAACAACTGTGTCCTGAACACCAGACTGTCCCAACAACTGTGTCCTGAACACCAGACTGTCCCAACAACTGTGTCCTGAACACCAGACTGTCCCAACAACTGTGTCCTGAACACCAGACTGTCCCAACAACTGTGTCCTGAACACCAGACTGTCCCAACAACTGTGTCCTGAACACCAGACTGTCCCAACAACTGTGTCCTGAACACCTGACTGTCCCAACAACTATGTCCTGAACACCAGACTTTCCCAACAACTGTGTCCTGAACACCAGACTGTCCCAACAACTGTGTCCTGAACACCTGACTGTTCCAACAACTGGGGCCTGAACACCTGACTGTCCCAACAACTGTGTCCTGAACACCTGACTGTTCCAACAACTGGGGCCTGAACACCTGACTGTTCCAACAACTGGGGCCTCTGTAACACCCATGACCCCCCCCCCCTTAGAGTTCACACCCAGAGAAGCCTTCTCCAAGAGGTCAGCCCAGATGACCTCCGGATTATCTTTTATGTTGATTAAAAAATTCCTGGGTTAGTCCTAGTCAGCTAGTTTCAAGTATGTAATATTTCATGATACTCTTGTCAAACATTGCAATGGAATTAGACCCCAGATTCTTATGTGTAAATATCCATGGATCTCCCTCCCTTTTAGCCCAGGTCAGAGGTCAGCCACACTCGTAATTAATAATTCCTCTCTTGAACAGTGTATGGTGAATGTCAAACAAGCTTAATGGAAAAATTCTTGAGTGTTTGTCGACGTGTGGCCGACCTCTTACATTCTTGGTGTAGGTAGCAACAGCAAATCTCCCCTCCCCCCCCTTTTGGGGTGTATATATTGGTCCTGTAGAGACAGAGACAGAGTGCCGGACACCAGGGTCCAGAGTGGGTCTGTGAGAACATCGCACAGCCAGGGAGGGACAGAGTGAATCCAGCAGAGGGAGAAACAGAGGTCTTAAGGTAAAGTGTGATCTCTGAGGTTTTGTTCCATGTCTAAATTTCTTAACTATTGGCCAGTGTTAGAGTAGGATTTATAGTGGTGATTACCATAATTTTGTTCTCAATAAACTTTTGTTAAATTTCCCGTCTGTGTCAATTGTTGGATCCTCTTAGCCTTTTGGATATAGTGGGCTGACAACCGTCCCATAATTAATGACAGTTATATGAAGTACTCTCCAAGTCAAGCAGTGTTTCTTGCCTCGTTGCTTGATATAGTCTCAATGGTCAAAGGCAGACGGTGGCAGCGATTTTTAATCCTGTATAGCATTTCCTTATTGGCAGTGTACCTTGTGGTTCCGGTGTAACCATCATATGTCAGCTCATATTACAGTGTTCAATAAGTCTCAACACCAGACTGTCCCAACACCTGTGGCCTCAACACCTGACTGTCCCAACACCTGTGGCCTCAACACCAGACTGTCCCAACAACTGGGGCCTCAACACCAGACTGTCCCAACAACTGTGGCCTCAACACCAGACTGTCCCAACAACTGTGGCCTCAACACCAGACTGTCCCAACACCTGTGGCCTCAACACCAGACTGTCCCAACAACTGTGGCCTCAACACCAGACTGTCCCAACACCTGTGGCCTCAACACCAGACTGTCCCAACAACTGTGGCCTCAACACCAGACTGTCCCAACAACTGGGGCCTCAACACCAGACTGTCCCAACACCTGTGGCCTCAACACCTGACTGTCCCAACACCTGTGGCCTCAACACCAGACTGTCCCAACAACTGTGGCCTCAACACCAGACTGTCCCAACAACTGTGGCCTCAACACCAGACTGTCCCAACAACTGGGGCCTCAACACCAGACTGTCCCAACAACTGTGGCCTCAACACCAGACTGTCCCAACACCTGGGGCCTCAACACCAGACTGTCCCAACAACTGGGGCCTCAACACCAGACTGTCCCAACAACTGGGGCCTCAACACCAGACTGTCCCAACAACTGTGGCCTCAACACCAGACTGTCCCAACAACTGGGGCCTCAACACCAGACTGTCCCAACACCTGGGGCCTCAACACCAGACTGTCCCAACACCTGGGGCCTCAACACCAGACTGTCCCAACAACTGGGGCCTCAACACCAGACTGTCCCAACAACTGTGGCCTCAACACCAGACTGTCCCAACAACTGGGGCCTCAACACCAGACTGTCCCAACAACTGGGGCCTCAACACCAGACTGTCCCAACAACTGGGGCCTCAACACCAGACTGTCCCAACAACTGGGGCCTCAACATCAGACTGTCCCAACACCTGGGGCCTCAACACCTGACTGTTCCAACACCTGGGGCCTCAACACCTGACTGTCCCAACACCTGGGGCCTCAGCACCTGACTGTCCCAACACCTGTGGCCTCAACACCTGACTGTCCCAACACCTGTGGCCTCAACACCTGACTGTCCCAACACCTGTGGCCTCAACACCTGACTGTCCCAACACCTGTGGCCTCAACACCAGACTGTCCCAACAACTGGGGCCTCAACACCAGACTGTCCCAACAACTGTGGCCTCAACACCAGACTGTCCCAACAACTGGGGCCTCAACACCAGACTGTCCCAACACCTGGGGCCTCAACACCAGACTGTCCCAACACCTGGGGCCTCAACATCAGACTGTCCCAACACCTGGGGCCTCAACACCTGACTGTTCCAACACCTGGGGCCTCAACACCTGACTGTCCCAACACCTGGGGCCTCAGCACCTGACTGTCCCAACAACTGGGGCCTCAACACCAGACTGTCCCAACACCTGTGGCCTCAACACCTGACTGTCCCAACACCTGTGGCCTCAACACCTGACTGTCCCAACAACTGTGGCCTCAACACCTGACTGTCCCAACACCTGGGACCTCAACACCTGACTGTCCCAACACCTGGGACCTCAACACCTGACTGTCCCAACACCTGGGACCTGACATGGAACCAGAACACGTTTCCTGACTCTTAATACCTCCGACAGCTGGTAGTGGACAGGGAAATTCTTGTCACGCTTCTGCCCTCTTCCTCAGAAACTAGTAAAGTTTCCTGGAGACAGGGAAAGCTCGACTTGTTGGAGATATTAACATTGGAACACGTTGACTTTCACCTCTAACAACTTGGGCTGGACGGTAGAGCGACGGTAGAGCTTCATGCAGGTCGGCGTTCAATCCCCGACTGTCCAAGTGGACGATGTTTCAGGAGACGTACAAGAAGAGGTGACTGGGGTTATATGGATGATCCCACAGCCAAGAATACCTTCCAGGCAAACTTGCTACCCCCTCCCACCCCTTTCTGGGCCTCCATGATGGAATCGCATCCAAAGATAAGTGGCTATAGAATTCATGTCCCGATCCCTTTCCAGTGCTATATAGTCGTAATGGCTTGGCGCTTTCCCCTGCACCACCTAGACAGGTTACAAGGTTGGTTCGAGAAATGGTTATTGGAAGTTAATGCTAATAAGTGTAAGGTGATGAAAGTGGACACCAGCGGGGCAGTTTACAATACAGTGAACTACTACTCGCAATTAGCTACAGCAAAAAAAAAATCGTTAATACGTTTATTTCTGGATCTTTATAAAGAGTTAACTTGAGAAAGTTGAGAGATATGCCACAAGACTGGGTCGAGACCTCAAATATTGGAGTACAAGGGAAGGCTGAACGTGCTTGATCTTACTACAATAGATAAGAGAATGAGAAGATGAGATACAATCACGACATACAAGATCTTGTGTAGCACTGACCAAGCTGACGAGCACGACATGTTTGGCAAGTGCACAAACAACACAATGAGAGGTCATAGAGGTAAACTCGAGCGGTCATATAGGTAAACTCGAGCGGTCATATAGGTAAACTCGAGCGGTCATAGAGGTAAACTCGAGCGGTCATAGAGGTAAACTCGAGCGGGCATAGAGGTAAACTCGAGCGGTCATAGAGGTAAACTCGAGCGGTCATAGATGTAAACTCGAGCGGTCATAGAGGTAAACTCGAGAGGTCACAGAGGTAAACTCGAGAGGTCACAGAGGTAAACTCGAGAGGTCACAGAGAGGTCCTCCAGAACAACTACTGACCTTTCCAAGGACAAAACCCACACAAATTGGCACATTTTGGGTACCTATTTAACTTCTAGGTTAACAGAGACATCAGGTGAAAAGAAAAGTGCCCAAGCGATTCTGTCCAACACGGGCATTGAACCCGGGTCTCTCAATTGTAAGCCGAGGAAGTTGACCCCGAGGGAACCTGGAAACTTCAGGACTAGGAAGCGGCGACACCGAGGGAACCTGGAAACTTCAGGACTAGGAAGCAGCAACACCGAGGGAACCTGGAAACTTCAGGACTAGGAAGCAGCAACACCGAGGGAACCTGGAAACTTCAGGACTAGGAAGCAGCGACACCGAGGGAACCTGGAAACTTCAGGACTAGGAAGCAGCAACACCGAGGGAACCTGGAAACTTCAGGACTAGGAAGCAGCAACACCGAGGGAACCTGGAAACTTCAGGACTAGGAAGCAGCGACACCGAGGGAACCTGGAAACTTGGAGACTTGGGAAGAGCAGCTGTGGCCAGTTCAGGAGTACAAGGAAGATGGAGGAGGAAGGTGGGAGGGAAACTGGAGGAGGCGGTGAAGGTCAGTGGGAGGGTGAGAGGCGCCGAGCGACGGGACTCCGCAAACGGCTTCCAGGGTAACGACCCCACACTACGGGGAAAGTTTGCGGGATGGGAGAGGAGAGGGAGGGGGGGCCGCCCCCTCACTACAGGGAAAGTCTGGGGGATGGGATGGGGCGGCGCAGGGTGGGAAGGGGGGGGGGAAATCTTCTGCGAGGATCCATTCATTTCAAAATATATTTATTAGCCATTCTTTGGCGTTATCTTGAGGTTATCTTGAGATGATTTCGGGGCTTTTAGTGTCCCCGCGGCCCGGTCCTCGACCAGGCCTCCACCCCCAGGAAGCAGCCCGTGACAGCTGACTAACACCCAGGTACCTATTTTACTGCTAGGTAACAGGGGCATAGGGTGAAAGAAACTCTGCCCATTGTTTCTCGCCGGCGCCTGGGATCGAACCCAGGACCACAGGATCACAAGTCCCGCGTGCTGTCCGCTCGGCCGACCGGCGTCGTAGAGACAAACTTCCCTAACCTTTGGTGTCGTAGAGACAAACTTCCCTAACCTTTGGTGTCGTAGAGACACACTTCCCTAACCTTTGGTGTCGTAGAGACACACTTCCCTAACCTTTGGTGTCGTAGAGACAAACCGGAGAAATAATGTGACCAAAAGGACAACAAGGATAGAACAGCTCTTCAACCCATCCCCCCTATCCCAGAGCCAGACCCGCAACCCGTCCACCGGTGGTGGCCGGTGTTCCACGCCGGGGTGCGGGAGGAGGCTGGTGTTCCCCGCCGGGGTGCGGGAGGAGGCTGGTGTTCCCCGCCGGGGTGCGGGAGGAGGCTGGTGTTCCCCGCCGGGGTGCGGGAGGAGGCTGGTGTTCCCCGCCGGGGTGCGGGAGGAGGCTGGTGTTCCCCGCCGGGGTGCGGGAGGAGGCTGGTGTTCCCCGCCGGGGTGCGGGAGGAGGCTGGTGTTCCCCGCCGGGGTGCGGGAGGAGGCTGGTGTTCCCCGCCGGGGTGCGGGAGGAGGCTGGTGTTCCCCGCCGGGGTGCGGGAGGAGGCTGGTGTTCCCCGCCGGGGTGCGGGAGGAGGCTGGTGTTCCCCGCCGGGGTGCGGGAGGAGGCTGGTGTTCCCCGCCGGGGTGCGGGAGGAGGCTGGTGTTCCCCGCCGGGGTGCGGGAGGAGGCTGGTGTTCCCCGCCGGGGTGCGGGAGGAGGCTGGTGTTCCCCGCCGGGGTGCGGGAGGAGGCTGGTGTTCCCCGCCGGGGTGCGGGAGGAGGCCGGTGTTCCCCGCCGGGGTGCGGGAGGAGGCCGGTGTTCCCCGCCGGGGTGCGGGAGGAGGCCGGTGTTCCCCACCGGGGTGCGGGAGGAGGCTGGTGTTCCCCGCCGGGGTGCGGGAGGAGGCTGGTGTTCCCCGCCGGGGTGCGGGAGGAGGCTGGTGTTCCCCGCCGGGGTGCGGGAGGAGGCTGGTGTTCCCCGCCGGGGTGCGGGAGGAGGCCGGTGTTCCCCGCCGGGGTGCGGGAGGAGGCTGGTGTTCCCCGCCGGGGTGCGGGAGGAGGCTGGTGTTCCCCGCCGGGGTGCGGGAGGAGGCTGGTGTTCCCCGCCGGGGTGCGGGAGGAGGCTGGTGTTCCCCGCCGGGGTGCGGGAGGAGGCTGGTGTTCCCCGCCGGGGTGCGGGAGGAGGCTGGTGTTCCCCGCCGGGGTGCGGGAGGAGGCTGGTGTTCCCCGCCGGGGTGCGGGAAACAATTAACATAGTTCCCGGTGCCAGAGCGCCACGACACTACAATCTTCTATAAGCAAATACTGTTAATACCAAAGGGGGAACTAACACATTTCCGCAAGAAGTGCTTCGTTTGCGGAGTTGTTACATGGCCTTCACGCTAGGCAGCCCCCCAGCTCCCACACTCCCCCCCACCATCAGCCCCATCTCCCCCCCACCTTCCTCCCCCATGACCCCCATCCTCCCCATGACTAGCTGGCCTGAGTCATCAGCCACAGCAGCACGCACACAGGAAGAGGTGGTGGTGGGGGGGGAAGTGCCGGATAGCGGGCCAGGTACAGCCTCTGAGGTGGACCGGATACTAAGCGACGACCACCGTCACTGCTTTACTGAAGCTTCACGGTAACTTCAGTCAGTCAGTTACCATGACTGAAGACACCAGTCACGGTGACAACTCTACCATGAGTCACGGTGACAACTCTACCATGAGTCACGGTGACAACTCTACCATGAGTCACGGTGACAACTCTACCATGAGTCACGGTGACAACTCTACCATGAGTCACGGTGACAACTCTACCATGAGTCACGGTGACAACTCTACCATGAGTCACGGTGACAACTCTACCATGAGTCACGGTGACAACTCTACCATGAGTCACGGTGACAACTCTACCATGAGTCACGGTGACAACTCTACCATGAGTCACGGTGACAACTCTACCATGAGTCACGGTGACAACTCTACCATGAGTCACGGTGACAACTCTACCATGAGTCACGGTGACAACTCTACCATGAGTCACGGTGACAACTCTACCATGAGTCACGGTGACAACTCTACCATGAGTCACGGTGACAACTCTACCATGAGTCACGGTGACAACTCTACCATGAGTCACGGTGACAACTCTACCATGAGTCACGGTGACAACTCTACCATGAGTCACGGTGACAACTCTACCATGAGTCACGGTGACAACTCTACCATGAGTCACGGTGACAACTCTACCATGAGTCACGGTGACAACTCTACCATGAGTCACGGTGACAACTCTACCATGAGTCACGGTGACAACTCTACCATGAGTCACGGTGACAACTCTACCATGAGTCACGGTGACAACTCTACCATGAGTCACGGTGACAACACTACCATGAGTCACGGTGACAACACTACCATGAGTCACGGTGACAACACTACCACGGTGTGTAGGTCAGAGGGCGTCAGCCTCCTGCACCACCAACAATGTCAGCTCCAGGGTGTAGGTCAGAGGGTGTCAGCCTCCTGCACCACCAACAATGTCAGCTCCAGGGTGTAGGTCAGAGGGTGTCAGCCTCCTGCACCACCAACAATGTCAGCTCCAGGGTGTAGGTCAGAGGGTGTCAGCCTCCTGCACCACCAACAATGTCAGCTCCAGGGTGTAGGTCAGAGGGTGTCAGCCACCTGCACCACCAACAATGTCAGCTCCAGGGTGTAGGTCAGAGGGTGTCAGCCACCTGCACCACCAACAATGTCAGCTCCAGGGTGTAGGTCAGAGGGTGTCAGCCACCTGCACCACCAACAATGTCAGCTCCAGGGTGTAGGTCAGAGGGTGTCAGCCTCCTGCACCACCAACAATGTCAGCTGCAGGGTGTAGGTCAGAGGGTGTCAGCCTCCTGCACCACCAACAATGTCAGCTCCAGGGTGTAGGTCAGAGGGTGTCAGCCTCCTGCACCACCAACAATGTCAGCTCCAGGGTGTAGGTCAGAGGGTGTCAGCCTCCTGCACCACCAACAATGTCAGCTCCAGGGTGTAGGTCAGAGGGTGTCAGCCACCTGCACCACCAACAATGTCAGCTCCAGGGTGTAGGTCAGAGGGTGTCAGCCTCCTGCACCACCAACAATGTCAGCTCCAGGGTGTAGGTCAGAGGGTGTCAGCCACCTGCACCACCAACAATGTCAGCTCCAGGGTGTAGGTCAGAGGGTGTCAGCCACCTGCACCACCAACAATGTCAGCTCCAGGGTGTAGGTCAGAGGGTGTCAGCCTCCTGCACCACCAGGAAATCATTACAACTATTATTGAACAGAATTATTGTTGAAAATAGTGCTGTAAAATCGCAAGGCATAGTTCTATCTGGTACGGAGCGGGGGCACGTGCAGGGGGGGATGTGGGGCACGTGCAGGGGGGGGGGTGTGGGGCACGTGCAGGGGGGGGTGTGGGGCACGTGCAGGGGGGGGTGTGGGGCACGTGCAGGGGGGTGTGGGGCACGTGCAGGGGGGTGTGGGGCACGTGCAGGGGGGTGTGGGGCACGTGCAGGGGGGGTGTGGGGCACGTGCAGGGGGGGTGTGGGGCACGTGCAGGGGGGGTGTGGGGGCACGTGCAGGGGGGGTGTGGGGCACGTGCAGGGGGGTGTGGGGCACGTACAGGGGGCCAGGGCACGAGTGGGGGGGGTGAGGAGGGCACGTGCCGGGGGGGGTAAGGACAAACGGTTGGGTGAGAATAGTGTATTGATCGGAGCAGCTGGAAGAGCAGCAGCAGCAGCAGCAGCAGGAGCCACGCCCGTGCGACCAGACCGTGGCAGCGGAGCCACCGTGGCGGCTGGCTGGCAGCCGGCCACGGGGGACCTGCATGACTATCCCCCATCCCTCGTCATTTGGTCCTGCTCGACCCCCCATGTGACGTCACTCACACTCCTCCTATCCTCTGCTAGTCTCCACCTCTACCCTTCGCCTGTCACACACACACACATTGTATGACACAATTACAACATACACAATATTGAAGAAGATGGTCATACTCGTGGTGTGGGTGGTAATAGAGAGGCTGCCCACCCACCCACACAACGCGGGACCAAAGAGCTAAAGCTCAACCCCTGCAAGCACAAATAGGCGAGTACAATGGACCCCAAACTGGACTTTCATGTTCTGTAAAATAAGCAAGTTAATAAAGAAAATATTAATTATCAAGGGAAAGCGCCCAGCCATTACGATTATATAGCACTGGGAAGGGGTCGGGATGTGGGTTTGGGATGGGACGGAGGATATGGAATGGTGCCCAACCAATTGGTCGGGAATTGAACGCGGACCTGCATGAAGCGAGTAATAGCAATGAACTGCTTAGCAAGGATTTTAGATAATGCTTTCATCACGAGTGGCGTAGTTCACCAATGATGTTCAACACCTGGATAAATTTACATTGGGAAAAACAGCTGGACATTGTCCAGTCGCAAGTCCTTGAGGAAACCATCCCAGGCAAATCTCACTATACAGCCATGTTGACCAGACCACACACTAGAAGGTGAAGGGACGACGACGTTTCGGTCCGTCCTGGACCATTCTCAAGTCGATTGGGAGAATGACACAATCACAATCGACTTGAGAATGGTCCAGGACGGACCGGAACGTCGTCGTCCCTTCACCTTCTAGTGTGTGGTCTGGTCAACATACTTCAGCCACGTTAT